TCATCAAAATCAGGAAAAACTGGAGAAAGGGGAAGAGTCATGTTTCTGTTGGACTCTTCAATTTTGACCTAGGAAGTGGTGCCCTAATTTTTTAGGGTTCCTTGGAGTTTTATGTAAGGGGCGGTTCAAGTCCTGCCTGATTTGGAGGCTTCTAGAGAGAGCGGTTGTCTCTTCTCTCTCTTCTCCCGTTCCACAGAAAAGGAATCTTTTGTGGGAAGACAATCTAGGACACCAGGAAGGTGTTGTTGGTTCCAAAAGTGTTTCGTTTGATCTTGTTACATATTTCAGTTATTTTCTTTACATTTTGAGAAGCATGGAGGGTCACGGAGTTGAAAATAAGCCCGGGAGTGAATAACCAATGGGATGAGGTGTTGGAGACCTTTTCAAGACTGAGACCATTACTTCAATTAGGTTGGATGGTGCAAATTACTTAGAATGGTCACAATCTGCAAAGATGGCCATTGGTGCTCGTGGGAAATTAGGGTATATCACTGGTGAGGAAGTGAAACCTGAAACTAGCAACTCCCAGTGGGTACAGGAGAATTATATGGTGATGACTTGGTTGTGTAATTCCATGTTGCCCCATGTAGGTAAAAATTTTTTATGGGCAAATACAGCTAAGGAAATATGGGATGGGATTGTAGAAGCCTATTCACAGAGGGAGAATGTTGCTAGGGCTTATCAGTTAAGAAATCAGATTATTTTTACAAGGCAGGGAGATAGACCTGTTGTAGCCTATTTTTCAGCCCTTAAAACCCTGTGGCAGGAGATTGACCATTTAGAGACATTTGCTTGGGAAACCACTAAGGATGCAGCTACCTATCAGAAACATCTAGAGAAGTATAGGGTATTTGAATTTCTTGTTGGCCTTAATCCTGAGTATGATATTGCAAGACAGCATATTCTTTCTAGGGACAGTGTTACCCTCTCCTAGGCATATACCTTTGTGTCAGGGAAGGAGAGCAGGAGAGATGTGATGATGAAAAATCCTGTTTCTGATCAGTCTTCCATGGTGAGTACTGTGAAACCTAAACAAAGTGGAGATCGGGGTGGTAGTGAAATCAAGAAGGAAGATAAAAGAGATTTGATCTGTGACTACTGTAAGAAGCCTAAACACACAAGAGATACTTGTTGGAAGCTTCACCCACATCTTGTGCTGACTAGACTGAAAAATAAGAAGGGAAATGCACACATGGCAGTTACTTGTGACATTTCGGCCCCTCCTACTACAACTGCTCTGAAGTCTGTTGTAGCTGCTGCAGTAAGTGCCAAACTTGAGAGGTATGGGCAACTTTTGAACCAGCGGAATACAGCCAGTTCCAATTCAGCAGCAAGCAGACAACAAGGTACAGGTGGCACTAGTGGAGTCCACTCTACTGCCTTTGCTCACACAGGTAGTTCACACGTCACTACAAATTATGTTTCTACTTCAGGTAAGGAGAGACCTCCTTGGATTATAGATTTTGGAGCCTCAGAGCACATGACCCATAGCTCTACTATTTTTTCTTCTTACCAGCTCTGTTCTGGCAGAGATAGGGTCTCCATAACTGATGGATCCCATGTTCCTATTGCTGGGAAGGGATCTATCAAGATTAAGGATTCTATTTCTCTACCTCAGTCATTCATGTTCCTAGATTTAGCACTAATTTGTTATTTGTTAGTAGTTTGATTAAGAACCTAAACTGTTCAGTATTTTTTCTCCTGGTCATTGTATTTTGCAGGA